ATAAATGAAATTCAGGCCCTTTCCTTCAGGAGCCCAGTGTAATGGATGAGTCAGCAAGGCATGGGGGCCGTGGGGGACTTTGGCACAGGTGCGCGGGGCCTGAGCCCGCAATGCTTCCAGGAGGAGGTGAGGCGCCCCCGCTGCCCGCGCGGCACCGCGGGAGGCCAGGCGCAGAGCGCGGGCTGCGCCGGGAAGGGAGTGCGACCCCCGGGGCCGCGTCCTCGCTGCTTCTCACGTTCCCGGGTCTTCGGCGGCGCGGCGAACCCTGCAGGGTCTGCGCGTCCTTTTCAAATACAGGTATTTAGGTACACAACGAAGCGTCGATTTAAGGAGAAATTTAAACAAGAGGACGGGAGCTATTCTGATTTGGCAAAACCTGTGCCTGCCGGCTGGGAATGACCAAAGGAAACGAAGGGACGTCAGGGCCAGTGCAGCAGGGCCTGAAGCGGGGCGGGAGGGCGGTGGCATGGCCTGGCCTGTCATTCTGGGGACCCCCAGTCCCCCTTCTTTTCCTGCCAGCTCGCGTGGAGCGGCGCCGGGCTGAGAACCACTCCACCCCAGACTCGGGAGCTGGATTTTTCTTTTAGTATCACTGTTCATCTGTGATTATTTTTAACCGCGGTGCGTGCTTGTTTGATTTTTTTTTTTTTAATTATTAAAAATAAAACTATTCCCCTCTAGGCCCCCAGACGCTGCGGGCATGCAGGACCCGAGCTGGTACCGTCCCGATCTCCGGGCGCTTTGCCACCTCCGAGGCGCCAGGCGCTTCTCTTTTCTCAATTTTCTGTCCTGGTTGAATTTTCATCCTGCGTGCTTCGCTTATGTAACAATTTAAAAAATAATACCGTTTTGATACGGGGAGGGGGGAGGGTCGCTATGTAAACAGGTGTTGTTTAGGATACTTCTGACCCTGCCGCAGGGTCGGTCCTGTCCCCGGGGAATCCAATCGGAGGGATTTCCAGGCCCGACACCCCAGGGTGGAAGCCCGCGCCTGAGGCCTCGCGGAGCCCGGCCGGGCGAGGGCCGTGGGTGCCGCTCCCCAAAGCTCAGAGAACTATTTTATCCCTACATGAGCCTGGAGATGAAGCCTGAGATCCTGACCCCACTGGGGAGAGCCTGGGATCTGTCCTCGCCACCCGGTGGCCCGGAGCTGAGTCCCTGTGCATCATCACTGGAGAGGCATGCCATATGTGGCTGGCTGTCGTTTATAAACACGTTCCCCTCCGCCCTGTGTGCCCTGTTCGGTTCCCACTTCCCGTTTAGGGACCGTGTGACCTTGACCATTGACCTAACCGCCTCAGTTTTCTGGTCTGCAAATGAAGACGAGCTAGGTTAGTGAACTCCTGGAAAGCATTTAGTACGGGGTCCTGGCATTTGGCGACCCTTTGACAGGTGACAGCCAGCCGTTGGTATCCCTTTGTGAGTACCTCGGGAAAGGCACCGGCAGAGCCTGGGGTCCCAGAAGGGGGAGGATGACAAAAAGAGAAGCATCCTCACGGTATAACGTTAAGTGAAATATTATTTCTCCCGAGTGCGCCACGGGCTCGGCCCGAAATATTATTTCTAATGTTACAGTGGACAAGTGTAAAATGAAAAAGGCCTCGAGTCTTCAAGACCCATGGAGTCTCGGGCAAATATACTGATCTGATTAAAAGTCTGAGTGCGGGTTGTTGCCGGGTAGAGGGAGTCCCCTGGTGTGTGAGTTGGGCCGCCTGCTGGAGCTGCCGGCCGGGCTGCTTGGTAAGCGAGTGCCATCCCGCTTAAGAACTAATCTGGTGGCTTGGCAGAGACTCAGTGTGCCCCTCCGTCAGATGGAACCACGGTTCCCATCACACAGAGAGGCAGAGAGAGTTGAAAACGGCTGCGGTAAAGGCGGACAGCAGGCCTCACAGGCCCAGGAGGCGGGATGCAGGGCCTGCGCTGAACACACCCCCCTTCCTGTGGCTTTTGCCAGCTGGGCCTGGACTTTATAGCACAGGGAATTCAGGTCGGGGGCAGCTCCGAGCCAAGCTCTGAGCTCAGTCCTTTCCTCTTCCTTCCCTCAGCCAGGCCCATAACCCTGCCAGGGTCGACGGCATACACTCCAGTGCCCCTTTATCCTACATGACGTCCAGCTCAGCATCTCACGCGCTCTGGGCAAGGGGTAGCACTTAGACTCTCCTGGCATCTTCCCCTCTCCCGCGGGCAGGCAGAGCAAGCTGGGGGAACGGCACTTACCGGGAGAGAGGACAGGACAGGTACTGGCAGCGTGGCATAGTTCCCAGCCTGGCAGCCAGACGGTTCCTGGTCGCTCCTGTTTGCGCCAGGCCGGGCCTGGAGACTCTCCCCGGGCGTCAGGGGTACATCGAGCGACGCTCGGTCACTGGACGCCACAAGCAATGTTTTGGCTGCGACCACGCCGCCAGCCCAGCGCTTCCCAAGCAAAATGTCAGAAACCCATACCCCTCAGGAACACAAACCTCTGACTGCCTCCCACTTTCTTCCCCTGTTAAGAAGTGCCAGTGAGTTCTTCCGACCCTGAGGGCTGGAGATAGAAAATCTGGAGCTCAGGTCCGAGCCCCTGCAGACTGGTGAGGCCGGGTACAGAGCGAAGGGTTCTTGGTATGCTCATTTTACAGACGAAAGAAAGGAGGCGCGCAGCAGGCAAGTCATAACGAGCAGGTTTGTAGCTTGACTTCGCCGAGCCTCAGTTTTTTCATCTGCAGAACCAGTACAGTACAACAATAACATTCATCAGTCAGGACTATGGCGAAATTAGTTAAATGCCCCGAGGAAAGGACGTCTGTCCGGTTATGACTCAGGGGCTTCCCTGACCGCTGAATTCATGTGACCTCGTCCCAGCTGGAGGTGAGCACTGTGGTCAGGACACCTCTCTTGGGTCTAGCCTCTACGCTCAGCCAAGGCCCGCACTTGGTGGGTGTGGGATCCTGGGTGCACTTCCATCTGGAGTACTGCTGGGCTGCAGAGTCTGGGGAAGCTTGAGAAGAGCTTTCCATCTGTAAAACAGGCTAAGGTGTTCTTTTAAGGGGGATGAGTCGCATGGGGCTCAGGTCCCTTCACTCTCCACTTAATGTCCAGCACTGTAGCACAGTGCCTGGAACATATTAGGGTTCAAAGAGGCAAGGTCGGAAGCTTTTGGAAGGCACCCTTGGTTTTCGAAGTGAGACAGACTCGGAATCAAACGTGAGTTTTACTACTACTGGCTATTTGCTCGCAAACAAGTCATTAAACTTCTCCAGGCCTCAGCTGCTAAACTTTAAAATATAATCTACTTTTTGTTTTATCTCTCTTTCTCTTTTTTTCCCTTTTGGATTAATGAGGCATAAGACAATCCCAGAAAGTGCCTGACACGGGACCCAGCATGGATGCGTTCTCATTAACAATATTATCAATTTGCGCACGGAATGCCTGTGCCTGCGATTCCATACCAGAGGGGCCGGCAGCCTTTCCGCCCTCAGAAATTCAGTTTCTGAAGCGCCGCAAGCTGAAAAAAGCACACGTGCGGGGTCAGCGCACTCTCTTTAATGGGAAAGGGATCCTCATTTCTTACAGCAACAGGTAAAAACATAAATACGGGTGGGTGGGTGGACGGCGGCAAGGCTGCAAGTGCCTGGGCGCCCGGCCCAGGCTCGGGGAAGGGCGGCCAGACCTTAGGCCCTGCGCGCCCGGGCTCAGTCCCAATTGGCTGATGTTCGGTCTGTCGGGGGGGGGGGGCCC